TGATTATTCCGGTAAATGATTTGTTAGCATTTCAGGCGTTCGATGATTATCCTAAATCATTTGGTGATATCATTCTTAAATATTATGTTTTCAGGGATACTTAGTATTTTGTCAGGTTGACCCGTTAAGAGCTGCTGATTTACAAAATTACGTTTATGAAAATAACTGATGAAATTATGAAAAGATTATGAATCATGTTTATAAATATGATCACAAATTCCAACAAATCGGACTTCCTGCCAAATTAATTACAAGCTTAGCCGCTACATCTGCTGACGCAACAGTTGATGATGTTATTATTTCATGCACAAAGATGGAAGTTTTAGAGGATAAATGCATTACACCAGGATACGGTTTAATTGAAGAATCAGTTAAAGCAATAACACGTTTATTCAGTAAGGAAGATCCATTCATGATTCCAGCTCAACATATTGACGTTCGTTCACTAAATGGAGGTTGCATCACTCCAGAAGGTATCAGTTCAGATTTCTCATACGCTCTTCATAATGTTACAGATGTTTGTGTTAACATTTCCAAAGAATGCAATGCAAAGAAAGTTTTAGAAAATCCAATGCTTCGAGGTCTTCAGGTCACTATAGATTCCAGAAACTTCCCCGATCAAGCGATGACCACAGTGGGTGACATATTCTTTACACGTATGCTTCAAGCTTCTGATTTAGATGGAGTGAATGAATGCACGGAAGAATACGAGGACTCATTAACTAGACCACTGAATGATGATAATGGCACGCCATTAGCTAGAACATGGAAAGACCAAACTTCATTCTTATGCACTATTCCAGTTCAACGTGATGGAGCGGGTATATTCTTTGATGGATTAGAAACTTTAACTCACAAGTTACAGTACAAGTGAAAGCTTATCCAATCATTCAGGGTTAAATGACACTTACTGTTCAAGGTGACAAATCCTCCTCAGGTTTGGTTCACTAGGACTACGTATTGGACATGGACACCGGACGAAGGTTTGAAATATCATCCAACAGGTACACCACCACAGTATAGAAGTTCATATGATGAAATATTGATGAATAGAAATGTTTAAAATTATAAATTTATTTTTGATTAAATGGATTTAAATTCATCCACCCCTTATGAAGAATTAGCAGGAGTATATAATACATACGTAGATGATATGATTAATGAAGCATTGAGTGATAATAGAAATGCTCTATCTAAGGAAAAATTAATGAAAATTCCATATTCTGAATGTTACTTAAATTCAATCACTGCAGCAATTGGTAAACAAAATAAAAGGTAAAACATTAACGATATTAAAACAAATTATCATTATTGCTACACTTCCCCCCATTCACATGTGTTTAATTATATCAACCGTTCAGGTTCACCTTCAGATGATACATTTGAATCTTTTAAAGCATTTAATCAAATTCCAATTATTTATTTATTACAAGAAGAAGCAGAAGATTATTTAAAAAACTTTTTAATGTATAAAGAATTATATAATACAATCAAGAAGCAAGGATTAGAGGATAAAATTATTGATAAACAACGGGATGAATTATTTGAAACACTTTTCTATTTCAAATTTTGATAAAGAATTTTTGCATTCACTCATTTTTCTAGATGATGCAGTGAAATCAAAACTAATAACAAATGAGAAATCATATTTTAATCAGTTATTAACTCAATGTCGACACATTCAGTGTTCATTCTTTATGGCTGTTCAATATTTCAAAGCATTAAGCACAAACATTAAATCAAATCTATCAACCCTTTTCATTTTCAGTGGGTTTAGTCGTCAATAGTTGAACGTTATGCTTTATCAAGTGAATTTACCAATGAGCATTAATGAACTTTACACACAATATCAGCAATTAGGTGAACATGGAAAATAATAGTTGATTTAAATAAAGGAAGTGTTAAATTTGATTAACTTTTTATAATTAATTTTTATTTTTTTATTTATAATTAAACATGACAGAAATAGCAAATCTTCTACAGGTTCCATTAAAACAAGGGACAAACAAAAAGGGTGCATATAATAGAACTAATGAAAGTTCCTGATGGAATGAAAGAATTAGTTCATATATTGTTTCTGGTCTTCAAAAAGATGTTAAACAAATGAGAAACGTTTTAACATTACCAGAAGCTCAAGCATATGCCAAACGTCATGGTCCAAATTGGGAAGCACACGAAGCAGACATTACGGGTCCAAATGGAAAACCTGATGGTATAAATGAAGTTTTCGTTACTGATGGTCAAGGAAATATTAAAGTCATAAATGGTTATAAATTAACTATATTCTGATTATCCTAAACGTAAAGTATATAATGAACGTTATCCTATGCAATTTGATGAAAATGGAAAAGCTGTTAAACAATACATTGGAGAAGGTGAACATGGTCCAATTAATTCATACCGTCGTAATCCATATTCTTATTTCAATGAAGAATTAAATGCTATTGAAGAGGGACCGGATGGATTACCACGATATTCTAACCAGTTTGATGGTCAATTGCAAATATTAGACCTGAAATTTCAGCTAAGAAATTCTTTAAAGTTGCTTTATTCGATCCAGTTTTCGCAAATGTGTTAAAGATTGAACTTAAACAGCAATTCCAACCAATTATAGTAGCAAGATTATTGCATCAAGGTGCTTTAATCTCAAGCATTCAAAGATTTAATTAAGAAACCATTATATCAGCAACGTGGTTTAACTTATGATTTAGTTAAGGAATCAGATATAAAGAAAATTTGAGAATCAGTTGATTATAAGAATGCAATTAATGAATATATTCGGTCTATTAATTTCGATGAAAATGCTAAAATCAACTTCATGAACAAATACAGGGAATAATAGATTCAAAAGTTCCAGCAAAATAAAAGTTTAAATATATTTTTTTATTCGATTATAAATGAGAAGACGTTTCACTAGTCAAAAGAACACTAACGCAAAAGCAGAGATTACGGTTGGTTATAACGTAAATGATGATAAATCACGAATTATTCAAAATGTTAAAGTTAATGTTAGCCCTGAATTAACAAGGTCAGCAACTCAACCAAATTTATTAACTCGTGACTTACCGAAGAATGAGGAGAATGAAGAAAACCATGAGAATGGAGACCCAATCATTTTACTGAACCCGGTAAAGAACCTGTTGAAATTCCCACTTATCCAACATACCCTCCACCTCTTTCATCAAACATCGAGAACCCATATAAAATAGACATTAATTCAGAATTAATGAAAAATTTACCGTGATATAATAATTAATAATTATGATTCAATAATAAATTTAATTGACCAATCCGGTTTAATTATTTTTACCTTATGAATCATTAATTCACATTATCGCCATTCTTTGTGATGTTCAAGATTCAGACGTTAAGATTCAATTTTTCATAGATGATGAGGTTTCATGCTGCGGAAAGTTGCAAAATAAAATCCTATAAAGGATATTAGCAAATTAAGATATCAAAGAATGGAACAACAACTGAACTTCATTTAACATATAATGATATTTATAATAAAATAGTTGATGAATATAAAATATCACTTGAAAAATTCTTTGTTAAGGCCATTTAATATTCAAGCATTAACATTATCGAATAATAATCCTTTGAATCATAATCAATAATAATTGACCTTTCACCAGTTTCTATCGTTTGTTTTATTTCTTTTTGTTCCCCACTATCTGGATCGGTCATTGTAATTGTTTTTGTTATAGTATCAGCTTTATCTTTAACTTCAATCTTTTTTCCATCGGGATATTTAAACCAAAATTCCAAAAATTCGATATTGTCAATCTGTTCATATTTTAATCTATCAATTACATTTTTAATACCATCTGAAAATCTTATGAAATGGTCATTATATGGGTTTGATTGAACTAAATTTGAATGAAGTGAAATATAACCTGTTGATGAATATGACATTGACTCATATTTTCTGAAAACACTAAAATTTATAACATGAATGAATTTCTTATTCGTTGAATTTATGAATTCTTGAGGTAATCTTATTCTAGTTTTATTTATCACTGGAAAATAACGCTTTACCATATTTTTAATCGTAATAAAAATGTCAATTATCAATATTATTTCGAATAATAGCTGTGAATTAAATTTAACAGTTAGCGGAATTTATAATGTTACTCTCGTTTCTGTGAGTGGTAAATTTAATCCCATTCTTTTAGACCCTTCAGATTATATATCATTTATTAAAGATGACCTTGAAAAAACGTATGATATGTATATAAATAATGTGATAGCGAAATGGGATATTAACATGATTTTAAGTTATTTAAATGAATCATTTATCGTATGGTATGAAGAAAATTTTAAATCAAAACCTGATAAACTTTTTGAACTTGATGAAATAAATAACCTTATTAAATTCCGCTGAAAATTAAATTTTGTACTCCTCATCTTCGTTCATTGTTGGGATATTAAATTTTGAAAAAGATGTTGGGGATGTTTTGTATTCTGACACTGGTTCCAATTTCATTTTAATCAAATGTGATAAAGTTAATAACCCAATGAGATTTTCACATCAAACATTAGACCCTAACTCTTACCCATCAATACAAAACATTTTATCCATCAACTTAAACACATTTTCTTTATCATATCCGTTTCAATTATCCGGGAATTCATTTATTCTTCATTCAAAAGATTTATCAAATATTAAATTTAGAATAACTGACCTATTTGATTGTGATTTAGAATTCATGAATGAAATATTATGGCAATTTCAAATAGAGAAAATAGCTGATGAGATAATGGATTAAATATTTATTTTTAAATCATAATAAATGATTAAACCACAACAACTTAAGGCGCAAAGCACCCAGGTCCTTCAGACCATTACATACGCCATATATGCATATAATTCAAAGATGGCAGAACAAACGCAAAGGTTGAAATATGGAGATTTGGAGATAGTATTGAAAAATGACCATTTCGAATTCGTTTGCAAAGGTGGTGCGGTGATATCAAATATAAAAGAAATTTTATTTATGAATTCAAAAATTAAAGGAATAACGGATGATATAACATCAATTCCACCAGAAGAACAGAGATATTACGCATTAAATGCATTTCCTAAAGTTTTGAAGATTGGAAGATTTAATTTAAATGAGGAATTCATAGAAGGTTTCCTAAACGACATAATGAAGAAGACAGATAAGGAATATGTGGATAGTGAGTTAAATAAGAAGGCAAATTTGGTTTATGTTGATGAAAAAGATAATGAAATTAAAGAAAAGGTTGAATGGTATCATGAATGGACATTTGAGACTTTTAAAGTTAAAGCTGATACAGAATGGGTTTCAGGATGTTTAGACCTTAAAGCGGATAAGAACCATACACATAACTTCTTCTCAACTGTTGCTATAGAAAGTATTGAAGGAACGGTTGACGGAACTGATGGGGATGCATTATATTATAAACCTCCTAACTTTCCACAAGGTTTAACATCGAATGAAAACATAACAACGATGAAAAAAATTAGATGTAAAAATGTTTATGTCATGGATGATGAAAATAAAGTTAAATTCACTGCTCAAGATTTATATGATAAGAAAGCAGACAAAACAGAGCTTCAAACATTAAAGACTGAAATACTTCAAACATTATATCCTGTTGGTTCTATTTATACGTCAATGAACTCAACAAATCCTTCAGAAGTTTTAGGTTTTGGTATGTGGAAGCAGATTGTAGATAAATTCTTATACTGTGCTAGATATTCAAAGCAAACAGGAGGTTCGAAGAAAATTAAAGAAGCAAACCTTCCACCACACACTCATACAGGAACTACAAACTTTTCTGGTGACCATATCCACTCATTAAGAGACCACCCATTATACAACTCAGAATATGAAGCTGGCAATGATGTTTTATCTCCAGATTATAACCATTCAGCAAAAAAGACTTTTCGACCAACTGAACCAGGAGGAAATCATGTCCATACTTTCACAACAAATCCAACAGGCTCGGGTAAAGATTATATGCCACCATTTGTGACTGTATTCGCATGGTACCGCGTTCATTGAATGAACTAAATATATTTTATGTCTGTAATTAATTAGGTAATGAAGTAATGGATGAACTGCAGAAATAAATGTTTACGTTAAGTGACTCAAAGAGTCCGGAGACAAAGTCTCATGATTTAGGTCATTCAATAATTAATTATTTTTGAAGAACTGAAGGTGTCACTACGTCACCATGTGTCACTCGGTTAATTAACTTCTCTGAAAAAATGAGACAACATGACATTTAGACAACACAGCAGGAGGAAGGCACTTATGAATTATTTTTGAAGAACTGAAGGTGTCACTACGTCACCATGTGTCACTCGGTTAATTAACTTCTCTGAAAAAATGAGACAACATGACATTTTGACAACATTTACGAAAATTTGATGCAGCCCAAAAATAAAGTTAGTTTTAAAATTATTTTTATTTTTTTATTCCTATATAAATGACAGCAACAAACAACAACAGCAACTTTATCATTTCTGATGAAAAAGTTATTGATTCATTAGCTGAGGAATTAGTTGTGGCAGAAACTAAAACCCTCAACGAAAGAATTGGTGAAAACAAGATTGATTTACATAACTACCTCAAACATGATGGAGGAAGAGGAAGGAAAACTGGTATGGCTTTATTAGTAAATAAAATATCAAATTTAACGATTATAGATGTTGATATCAATAAATCATACAATGATGAACTTAAAGAAACAGTTAGAAAAGATATTTTATCAAAACTTTCGGATAAAGATGTTATCGTTAAAACCGCTTCAGGAGGTCTTCACATTTTATTGCAACACTAATTTCTTCTATGCAGTTCGAACAGAATGATTAAATGTTATTCCTGCAATGATTATGATATTGATATAATGACTTTCTATGGATGATTCAAAGCGTTCTTTAGTGGTTATGGCCGATTCAAGAGTTCGCAAGAATGCAACAGAACCAATCAATACATACTCATTCATTCGTGGAAGTTATGATTCAACATTAACCAGAACAGTAACGATATATTAATGATTTGAATATTAAGGTAAGAGTTGAACAAAAGAACGAAGAAATAAAGACTATCATGAATGAAAACAAAAGATGTAAACATTGACGATAAACTTGCCCAGAGCATAGTTGATGGCATCAGTGATTTTGAAGTACATAATGACGGTGAGAAACATGAATTTGGAAAAAGAAGTTACATTATTCACACTGTTTCAAGCAATTAATTCGTTACCTAATCATTTAATTAATGAAGCATACGATAACGTTATAACTTCTGCAATTTAACTGAAAATGCAAAAAAAATTTTGAAAAAGCACGTAGTAGATATGCACATTTAATGACTTCTCCATTTGTTTTGGTGAAGATTCTAAAACTTTATCAAAAGGAATATTATGATGAATATGTTTTTACCTTTATTACGTAAGCAAAAAATAACATTTGATATAAAACTTGATATGATCGTTTTTGATAACAGATATTAGACGCAAGGCTGAAAATCATCAGTATAAAAACAGTTCTGAAGTAATTGAGGATTTATCACGTGTAATCCGTTTTGTAGATTGTGGAAAAAATACTTCATTCAAAGGACTATAATATCCACGACAAAATGAATCAAATATCATTCGTTCTTCAATCAAACATGAAAGAGTTACTCAAAATGATTAAATTATTTAAAGAAGAAGGTAAAACATAAACAGCATGGGATGTACTACTAAATCAATTATCCTCATTAACCGTTAAGGGTGTTTGCTTTAAATCTGATTCTCCAGATGTTTTCTCAACGTTTCAAGGTATAAATACAACATTCTCGAAAACTTTGATTACTCAAAAATTGAGATGTTTATGAATTTCATTAAAGAAGCCATTTGTGATAATAACGATGAAGTGTTATAAATACCTTCTCAGCTGGATGCATCAATGATTCAAACATCCTGGAATCAAGAATGAAACAGCAATTATTTTGAAAGGACTTCAGGGAACAGGGTAAAAAACAGATTTACAGATATTATTTCTGAACTTCTCGCCGGTTATTCATGTAAAAACATTACTGAAATAGGTGAGCTAACGGGTAATTTCAATTCAGTAGTTGAGAATAAAATGTTTCTTGTACTTAATGAACTCAAGAATGTAGGTGAAGATAGACTCGCAAACTTCAACGCTTTGAAATCAATTATAACGGATAATGAGATTAGAATTAATGAAAAGAATCAACCCAGAAGAACAGCTCAGAACGTTGCAAACTTCATTTTCGTAACTAATAACGTTTACCCTGTCAAAATTGAAGTTGGAGACAGAAGATACGTAGTTTAAGAGTTAATGGTAAATTCAAGGGTCAATTTGATTACTTCAAGAATTTGATGAATTCATGCACAAAGGAATTTTATATAATTTACTGACGTATTTTATGCAATATGACCTTTCATCATTTAATGTACGAATCATACCGATGACTGAAGCCAAACAAGATTTAATTGAATTATCAACAAATCCTTTAGATGTATGGATAAATACACATTATGATGAATTGTGTGCAGGTATGACGTGTAAAATGCTCTATTCTGCAAACCATCAGACATGAAAGACAAAAACTTTCAAATGAGTATTAAGGATAAATGTGATAAGAAACAGAGAAGAATAGATGGTAAACAAACATGGTGTTATGTTTTGAAAGAAGAAATGAAAGGATTATATAAACAGGTTGAACCAAACGATAATGAGGATTCATTTACTGACGATGAAATACCTGTAAATGACTGCTTTATAAAGTATGATTGGAATTTATTTTGCATTAATCCTGTGTTGTTGTCTAAAATTCATGTTGTCTCATTTTTTCAGAGAAGTTAATTAACCGAGTGACACATTGGTGACTAGTGACACCTTCAGTTCTTCAAAATAATTCATAAGTGCCTTCCTCCTGCTGTGTTGTTCTAAATGTCATGTTGTCTCATTTTTTCAGAAGAAGTTAATTAACCGAGTGACACATGGTGACGTAGTGACACCTTCAGTTCTTCAAAAATAATTCATAAGTGCCTTCCTCCTGCTGTGTTGTCTAAATGTCATGTTGTCTCATTTTTTCAGAGAAGTTAATTAACATGGTAGCACCCTCAGTTATTCGAGACGTTGTCGAAGAGGAATAAAAATTAAATTTGGATTGAGTTTAAAAATTCATCTTTATTAAATTCATCTCTTCCAACTAATTTATTTATTCTATTAAATTCTTTTATTTTTGCTTCACTCAGTTTAATGATTGAACGATAAGTTTCTAATTTTTCAATTATTTCCTTCTTCTCTTTATCGTTTTCAATTACTTTAGTTTTATGGGCATCAACCCCACCGCATTGCGGCTTCTTTTTGTAATAGCATATTTTTGATTTAATTCTGTTTAGTTTCTTTTTATATTCATCGTCTGGACTCTTGACTGCTTTGTTGTCACTCATTTCTTACGAAATAAAAAAAATTAAATATTATTTAAATATAATGGAGTAATAAAATAAATCGGAATTTCTATTAATTTCTTGTCAACTTCAACTAATGCATTGCCGTTAATATATCTAACAAATTCAGCTATTGTGTCAAATCTTCGTCTTCTTTTTGTCATTGATTTATCAGTTTTTCCATAATCGAGATGAATTAAAACTTTATTTCCTTGTTTAAAATTCACGAGCCCCGAATTAATTTGTTCACGTTTAACATCATTTAACCTTTCCATTTGCTTTCTAATATATTCCCATTCTTTTGAAATATCATTTTTCATTTCCACCGGTTTCATGTTTATAGTTCTATGCCATGTATTATTGTAATAATATACTAACTGCTGTATGATGGAGTCATGATTTCCATCCCAGTATATCTGACCGTTAACCCCTAACGCATCTCTAAGAGTTCTCATTACCGCATCAACTATTTTATTATGAAACGTATATGGAGAGGATGAAAAGTAAAAATTAATTTGTGGGAAATAATGAGCCATAGCTGCCTGAAATCCTTTATCACCATCACCCCTGATATTATCTACTCTTTCATGATCTAGTAAGTATTGAATAGCTCTTCTTGTTTCCTGTTCTGTTTTCCCTTTCACCGGAATGCAATATAAATATCTAGTGTTAATGTTAATGGCAAATAAATAAGTAACTTTTCCTTTTGAATATTCCAGATGATCGATTTCGTATGAATATGGATATGGTGCAAATGAAGGGCGACTAAATTTTTCCTTTAACGGTTGAATTTTCGGGTCAATTGGTTTATTTAATATCTTGAAATCCTTTTTAAAATCTTTTTGCTTCTTAAATGTTTGAAATGGATATAATAAAGTGAATGATGAAGGATTAACTGAAGGAGGAGGTGGTACTGTCGTTGGAGGTTTTGGTGTTGCAAGTGGTTTAATTTTATCTGCTTTGATTTTGGATGATGAAGTTTTAGTTGTTGATTTTCCTTTCATTAATTCTGGATGTATTCTATTCATTTGTTTTAAATATGCTGTATATAAAGGTTTGATATACTTTCCCGCTTCGAGTTTATGTTGAAGGATGAATTCCAAAAGTTGAT